TAAAATTCCCAGTCTCAGTTATTCTGTTATAACAGTACAGACAGACTAGCACACTTGTGTAGACTCTTTCAGTAGAAGAACAGTCTCTGTGTACTAAAGAAAACATGCCATAGTATCATATGGCTTCTAGGTGTGTGTGTGTGTGTGTGTGTGTGTGTGTGTGTGTGTGTGTGTGTGTGTATGTGGGGGATTAAATCCAGAACCTCATGAACACTAGGCAAGTGCCTACCACTAGGTACGCCTGCAGCCTGGTTTCCAGATTTTAAGAAGTATCCAGGAATTTTATCAGAAAAAGAATATTTCAAACAATCAGAGCAGTTTTCATATTAAAATTAACTTTTTTGTGCATGTTTATGTGTAGAAAGAAAAATCACTAGAATAACAAGTATTTTCTGAAATACTGAAATAGTCTATATTGTTTTTAAGAGAATGTATTGAATACCTACTATGAATCTGAATATCATGCCAAGCATTGGAATTATAATAGTGATTATAAGTAGAACTACTGACCTCCTAACTTTTTATGACACAGTTTAGTGGAGAAGGCACTAACCAAGTAATTACAAGAGTACTTGTAAGTTATGGTAATTATAATTGCTATAGAGCTACATGGTGCCATGAGAGAAAGAGCATACAGAAGAAAAATTTGATTTGGTCAATAAGAAAAGGGAAGGGAAGCCTTGATTCTGGTGAGAAAGAGTGAAAATGGGCCAAGAAGGCCATGGAATGGCCACGTGTTGTGATTCTGAAAGATACAAAGTCTGGTGCAGTGTCTGCTCCAAAGGAAGAAGTGAGGCCATTCAGTCTTCAAAGACCTTAGTAAGAAGTTTTTTCCTTGTCTAGAAATAATGAAAAACATTTGCTTATCTTACTTTGAAGACGACTTAAATTTGGAAAGATACCTCTGGTTTAGTGTGGGGAACTGAGTGGGATTAAGCCCAGAGAAGTTGTTGTTAAGCTACCTAAACAAATGATTGCAGGTAGATGGACAGGGATGTTATGCTCAAGTGGGGCTTGTCAGTGAAAATAGAATTTTGCTCTGGAGATCAGGTACAACAGAGTAAAGCCAAAAATCTAGAGACAGAAGACTTGGATATAAATCTCACCAACTAGCTTTGTGGCTGTTGTGAAATTGCAGTATTTCTGTATCTCCAGTATAATTGTATAACATTATTCTCATAGGTTTCATCAGTGTTAGAGAATTGATATACATGTGAATTCCTTACAGACTGAACTGCTGTATAAAAAAATGGAAGATTTAAGAAAACAAACATTAATGAACAATGGCTATTATTGGACTGGGTGGTTCAACTACTTGAAGAGGTGATTCTGAGATTTGTATCATTGTGGTTTGAGATTTTATATCTTTTCCTGATTGTTCTGCAGTCTTCAGTTATCAGGTACAATCTAAAATTTTACAGTGGGTCCATGCTTTTGTGCTTTCTAATAGTAATTGAGTAGCTTAGTGTGTTTTAAAATCAGTTTTACCTGAGTGTTTTTCCTTATGTGTGGTTTCAGAAGCAAGAAAGAGTTTTAAGGAATCTTATAGCAGAATCCTAAAGCAAAGAGCTAGAAAGTATAAAAATTTTCAGATACATCATTTTTTAAAGTAGAAACTTTGCATCTTCACTTACATTCAAGTACATACATTTACTGTACACCTTGTTTCTGCTCTAGTGTATCTGTATATGTATATGTGTGTATAAATACATATGTATGTATATAGGTAAATAAGCCTCTAAGAAATATGCCTTTAGCTTTTGAAATGCGTTGGTTCAAAAATCTAAGATAAAATGAAAATTGGAGTAAAATTTGTTGCATAACTACTTTTTTGACACATACAGGAAAGATCAGTATTTCTAATAACTCAGGAAGGCATATATGTTGTGCCAGTACTTACCCAAGTATTTATTACAGAGAATCCACTCAAATAGTCATTGAACGTTAAGATTGGATATGTATTGTTCTTGCATGTATTTTTATTAAAGTTATTTAGATATGTTACCACTAGTATCAAAATATGTGCCCTAGTAAAACATGACATGACATTTTGTAGTGCTTTGAAACAGAAGCCAGAATGTGAATATGGTCTAAAATTTTAAACATGAATCTTCTGGAAGAATCCCCCAAAATCGTAGATTGAAGCCCTTTGTATGCTTTAGGCAGTTAGTATTTGATTGTTTTATGGTTCTTAAAAATGATTTCGTTCTAAATATTTGTGACTTTTGTGTCTATTACTTTAGAACATTTGGGCTGAGGAGGAAATACTTGTAATCCTAACATTTAGTGATAAATATTTAGTTTTTTAAGGTACCAGGAAGAACAGTTGCTGAAAACCAGCCACCCTTGAAGGGTTTCACACTTGGAAATTGCTTCTGGATCCATAGCTGAGTAGAAGACATGTCTGAGTGGAAATCACAGATCTTCTCATTGCCTTCCACCTACATTGATAATGGCTCTAATAGGTTAGCCACTAGGCTACGGACTTTATATGCATTTTTACCTAATCTTGCCATCAACCCTGTGAGTGTTGAGATGTAATTTTGCAGATGAAATCTGTGAGTTGTGAGATGTAAATTTGCAGATGAAGATGGTGTAGTGAGGTTAAATAACTAGTAAATAGAGGTTTCTTTGTTCTGTTTTTAGTCACTTTTGATTCTAGGACTGATGTGGTATTTTGAAACAGCTGATTTGGTGCAAAATCATTTGAAGTCTTTATAGACTAATCTGGAGCCATATCTCCTGGAGCCATACTTCTTGCTATGGTACAATATTAAAAAGAGATAACACACAGTAGATACAAAGACTGAAATTTAAAAAAAACCTTACACTCATCCCTGAGTAATAATGGATTTTTTTGTTGTTGCTATCATAACAAGTTTTTAAGTATGTAAAGCATACACATAGTAAGAAAATAATTCAGATAGCCCAATAATTACAATGCAAAGCATATTTATTTCCCACTCTAGCCTCTTACCATACTATGCAGAGACAATCCCTGCATCTAATTGCTGGTTTTTATTCCAAAGGTAGTGTTAACATGAATTGATTTTTTAAAAAATGACAGTTGAAGATCAATTCCAAAGAAATATTACCTGTAAGTAACCGGATTTGTCAGTGAGTTGATGCCTGAGTGGGTCAAACCAGGAAAGACGAGAGCTGGATGCAGATGAGAGACTGTTTTGACAATGAAAATATGCCATCATTATTAGCTCTTCTTCCCATGGGACAACCAAGACTCCCATTGATTTATGTCACATGTATTGTTGCATTTAGAAGAACTCAGATTCAAGACAATGCCTGCCTGTCTTTTTATTCTATTAAAGTCCACAAAACCCCTCAATTTCAGAGTACTATGAAAAATCAAACACTGAAGTAGTATAAATAGTTTATTACTAAGAGCCAGGAATGATGGCACATACATGTAATCCCAGTGCTTTGGGAGGCTGAGGCAGAAGGATTGCAAGTTTTGAGTCCAGCCTTGCCAATTTAGCAAGATCCTGCTCGAACTATAAAAATCGCTGGAGATGTAGCTGACTGCAAGAGCCCTGGGATGACCCCCTAGTACCTTAAATTTTTTTTTATTTTGACTTGAGTTTCTATAGCTGAGTTAGGTGGCAAATATCAGAAAATGAAGTAGTAACTGATTTTTTAAAAATATACTTTTTAATTTTAGAATAGATTTAGATTCAAAGAAAGCACAGGGTTCTCATGTACCATATTCCCAGTTTCTCCTATTATTAACAGGTTTTTCCATGTCAAGTTTATTGTATGCTTTTCAATATTTATATATTGTGTGCTTTGTATATTGTATGCTATACAGTCCACACCTAAGGAGTGGGAAGTTATGTTCTACCTCTTTGAGAATGGATTATCTAAATAAAATAATTGGAGTACTTCTGCAAAAAGGATTTGCTTCTCCTCCCCATTTATTTGTATAACTGCAGATTCATAGACTATATGATTATTAGATTAAAATTCATTACCACTTTATTTTATGGCTCAGATGGTTTCAGCTTTGCCCATTTGGAACTCTTTTAGTTGGTTTTTGTGTGTATTTTTGACATATTCTTATGATTGTGATTTTACATTATTGAACCTGATACCATAGTGTACTTCAGATTCAGCTTGTCTGTTATTTCCTACTATACTCCTAGAATCAGTCATTTCTCCAATAAGCACAGGTTCATTTTATAAAAAGATAATATTAGAAACTAAGATCTGAGTGCCAGCTTTAGTTATAGCTCTTTTAAAAGCAAATTGTGAAAAAGAAAGCTTGAACCATTGTTCCAGGTCATACTAAATCTGGTCATTCTAGCAGTTTTTAAAAAAAGAAAAATTGCTGAATGTATAAATTTTGCTCATTTGATTGAATGGAGTGCTACTAGCAAGTTTTAAGGGCAAGGTCTAGGAAATTTTGTTACTCTTTTTACTTTTTAGAAATTTACCTGTCCTCATTGTCACTTTCCTTAATTTGTGTGAGCAGAAAACCTGATGCAGAATTTTAAAACAGTAATTTGAAACAGGTTGAGATTAACTCTGGGATATTGGAAAGATTTTATGCTCCATTAGAAAAATTAACAAGCATGGAGTCTATGAAACACATGTATTTATCTGATGAATAAAGCTTTGTTCTGCATCACTAAGCCTTTTAACTTTGTGTTTCCACAGATGATTGGTAAACAGTACTTTCTTAAGGAAAGAGAAAAACAAAAATAAAAGAGAGAAAAAGACCTTTCAGTATGGTGAAAATATCGGGATAGTATGCCAAACTGATTTTGATGTTGTCTTGAACATTCTTTATTACAGATTTTGCCTTTGTGATTTTAGAATTGAAATTTACTAACTTGAGATATTTGCAGATAGATCAGACACTTTAAAAAAGACTTTAAAGGAATTTATAAATTTATATTTGTAATGTTAGTAGTGCTGATGTACATTTGGAAGCTTTTTTAATTTTAGTGTTTGCACTATCTTGATAGGCATATATTTTTTCTTTTTCTGGTATCATCTTGGTAAACAAGTTGTATTTTTAAAACTCATCAAGCAACCAGGTCAGTACAATCACAGGATCTGAAAGATAAATATATAAAATGTAAAAAACCAAGTCAGTTTTCAAGAATTAAGCAGGTATTTTTTTTCTAACCTATATCAATACTATTTATCTTAATGTATTTTATTATTCTTTCTTAGTTTAAATATAAAGAATAGTCTTTAAAACTATTGTTCAGTAGTCACATGTCAGTGTCAAATAAACTTATGTACAATTGCAGTATGTAAGAAGCTTGGCATTAAAGAGGAAGAGCACCAGAAGGCAAAAAATGAAGCAGGGGCAAATGAAGAGATCTCTGATGAATATGCAGACTGAGACTCGTTACATGGAATAACTGTAAGGCAGAGATGTACAGGGAGCCCTAGGATGAAAATAGCTGGAAAGCCTTAAATGGGATGGAGCTGAGTGTAAAGATGAGGAAATAATAAAATACGTACAGGTTCTGGTTAAAGATTGCTGGTGTGTTGAGGCTGACAAAAGTTGCTAGGAAAGATGCAAAAACTCTTGTTTGGGGTTCAGTGCAGATGTTGAGGACAGTATTCAAAGAGCTTGGGCACTGTGATCTGGGTCATGACAGGAAAATTAAATTTATTGTGTCCACAGTGTACTAGGAGCTGCTCTCTCATGTATTGTCATTTAATTCTTACATCAACTCTTTGAGGGGGGATATTATCAGCAGCAGTTTTATGTGAAGAAATTTTGGCACAGAGAGCTTGAGAACATGGTGTATGTAAATCACAGTTACTATTCAGCTGTAAACTCAAACATCATTTTTATTTCAGAGTAGTTAAGGGTAAAGATAAAGCCAACCAGGTATAACACATGTGCAAATACTTAGCACGCAGGGCAACCCTCAATACTTTTGAAGCTTTTGAGATTAGTTGGTTAAGAAAAACAGCTTAAAATGGTGGTAGTTAGTTTAAGTAGTTTAAAGCAGTTGAAAAACTTGGGTTATGGTCATTGACTGCCTTGGAAGGGCCGCAGAATAAAGAGAGAATAAATGATGACAGGTGATGCAGGAAGTGGGCTTGGGGCTGGAATTGGTCATTTTAATTATCACCTAACCCTCACTTTCAATGGGACTCTTTGTCAGAATCTCTACAGACTGCAGAGAGTGATTTTTAAATCTTCTTGGGGAGGATAAATTTTTGGGGGTTGTTTTAGACTCTGGCGAACCAATTGTTAGTGTATTGATCCACTTGTGAATGGCAAATGAGAATAAAACCACTGATTTTTATGAAGGTAATACGTTTTTAAATGTGTGTTTACATCTACAGAGTGATTCTCAAGAGCAAATTAATTATATGTCTGTAGTTCTTGAAACTAAGTAGGGTAAGTGAAGGAAAAGCATGATTTAATTTTCCTTTATTGCTAGCCAAATCTCTAGGCTAGCCATTTTTTCCTTTAATAAAAATGTTTGTGGTTCCTCATCCTCCCATTAGCTCATAGTTGAGAGCTCTGTTAAATTGTCTGTGAGTCGGAGTGTATTAAGTCTGCCTGATTAAAATTGTTCATGAGAGATCAAGCAGACAAGGGACTTTTAGCATAATTAAAAAAGCACTGGTAGCCTTTTAAGATGAGATTTCAGAGATTTTTGAAATTTATATCCACCTGTAGGGGAAGTTTGTTTATGTAATTAGATTCTGGTTCCCTCATGAACCTTTCTGGCTTAATTCGTGCACAGTGTCCTTTCCTTTTATGGAATAGTGTCTTCTCATGCATAAGACACAGGAACTCTTCAGAAGAGACAGATCTTGAATGAACCAGATTCTCTTGAAAGATTACAATGAGATAAATTTAAAAAAATCAGTATCTCCTTATGTTAACCTGTGTATTTCTGAAAGGAGATGTAGTAGTAAAGTTGAAGATGGTCAAAACAAACTTTATATCCTGGGTTCTCACACTAATTTGAGAAAACTATCTTAGCTTTTGGAAAATAATCTTTTGTTTAATGGAAGTTTTAGCCTACAGTTTTTATTTTTGTCTTTTCATTTTGTGGTTCCCAAATTTTGCATTGCTGGGGTCTGAAATCATTTTGTTACTATTCGCATTTTACTCTCATGTTTCAGAAAAAAAAATGATTATACTTAATGTGCCTCCTTTTGTGCCTTTTGAAGTAAAGTCCACTGCTGTAGACTGTTTAGAACTTATAGAGCACTTCAGTATTTTTTTTCTGTGTTTCTACGAAGACATTTTAGTTCTTCCTTAGTATAGAAACTTTTCTAGCACGAATCAAACTGATATTGCTATAATGAGCTAGCATTTTAGATGAAAATTACCAAAGTGTGATTAAAAAAAAACAACTTTACATGTACAAGGCATTAATTGCCTAGGCTAAGGGCCTCTGACATAGAATACTTTTTTTAGGGAAGGCATTTTCCTTGATGAAAAAGTAATGCTTTGTTTTCACCCAGAATATCGCTTTAGAACATTTCTCATATAATTAAAACAATTTTTCCATTACCTAAGTATGGCTCTCAAAGTTTCTTAACTTTTTATAGTATCATATTATCTTACATTTTAAAAAATAATTAGTTCTGTCTTAATTTTAACATAAAACAGTAATAGCCAACAAGAAACCAAGTTATTTTCATATTAGGTTTGAGAGAGAAAACGAGATGATAAAAGAAACCCCTCAAACCCAAATATACTCTAAATTACCCATTATATTTAGACTCATTTGAGGAAAATGATCCAAATTATTTGGGCAGACATAAAATGTTTTAAAATCATAAACAAGAGGAAAGGAGGCTGAAAGTTTAAATGATAGTAGGTAGCTTATAGTAGGTAGCTTCTTCTTTTTTCTTTCTTATGTTTTACTTTTTTAAAAAAGTCTCATCTGCAGGAGAGCCCTTAAATAGGTTATATTTTGAAACAGTACAATCTGAATAGTTTTATTTGTGGGAGGAGGTGACAAAGAGGTTATTCCTCTGGCTTCTTCTTGACAAATAATCAGAGTAGTTCACAGATCTCTTGGTTTCAAACCATTTTATACTGTTGAGAATTAATTTTTGCATCAAATTATATATTTTAACTTATGATTGAATAAACTGTTTTTAATAGACTGCACAATTAAGTAAAATAGATAATAGTGGTTTCAGTTAATATATACTTGGGGATGAAATAATATAGAATTAATGAGATGCAGTATATTTTATAACTGTGGCAGCAAGTATATCTCTGATATGCGTATTACTATTTTTATATACCCCCTCCTCAAAACAACTTTAATTTCTTACACTGGCTAACTTTATCCATTTGATTACATTTGGTTACACTTGGACCCTAGAGGTACAATGATGACTATACTATCTTTGAAGAGACATTTTTGCTAGAAACAAACAAATAATTATCAGTATGAATATAGAGTAATGTACATGTAAAAGAAAGTGCATGTAATTGTGGCTGGAATGTAAAAAATGACTCAAAAAAGTAGACATTTAAACTGATTCTAAAGGGATCTGTTCTTTCACCAAGCAAAAATAAGAACGTGGAAATTGAGAATGCAAGTACAAATGCATACTTTTTTTCTTTTTTGGTACCAACCAGGGGTCAAGCCTCAGGACCTTGCGCTTGCGAGGCAGGTGGCAGAACCACTGAGCTAAATCCCTGGCCCAAATGCGTACATTTTAAAAGGATTATAAAATACTTCATTATGTCTTGAGTACATACAGGTAATTGAAAGTAGACGGGGAGTTGATTTCCTGTCCACAGTGTTGACAAGTGTAAATTTATGTGTGCGTAGTCATAGGACTCTGAAGAAATTGAAATTGAAGGAGTAAAATGAGAAAATTTATGTTTAAAAAACTAAAATGGATGGGATTATAGGAGATATTGGGAGAGGGAATGAAAGACTGAATACAGTGATCATTGGAGTCTTTTAGTGAACCAGGGGGTATTCCTCCATCATTAGGTCATGGAGCCAGAAATAAGGAAGTGTAGATTCTCATTCTGAAAATACCCCAAGATTCCTTCAGCTTAAGATTTTTCATCTGCAAAAGACAGTGCCTATTTTGAAGTATTGTAAATTTCTTGTGTTAAAGATGTCTTCCTTAAATTTCTCACTCTATAAAATTGAATAGAGTAATTGGTAGCTACTACTATTAATATTAAAACCTAAGTGCTTAGCATTCCATGGCAAATATTCTAAATGCTTGAGTCTCTAAACACAAAAAGAAGACAAAAACATCGTAAAACTGTTTATCTCTGAAGACTTTATTGCTATCCTTATGTAAAAGATATCTTGATTATTCATTAATATTGTGCATATATTAGCCTTGTTCATGTACCCTTACATATTTTAAACTATTCAAAAGGTTTGATGTAAATGGCTTTAAAGTTTGATGAATAAAATTAACTTTCCATCCAAGCACACACTATTTGTTCTGTTTTTCTAACCAGCACAGTTCAAAGATGGAGAAGTACTGCTTCCTATCCCAAATGAGAATTTCACCTAATTCCTCACTGAACAGGTTAGCAGTTGAGTTTGTTTAAACTCTTCCTCTGATAGAGAGCACTTGACTTTACACAGCAGTGTATTACAGTAGTGTCAGCTTCAGTTGCCAGTGTATTCCATTGCTGTAGTTCATGCGGCTTCCCTTTGATTTCTACTCTGTGTATAGTAGCTCTCATTAATCCAAATCTAATAATATTTCATTTGCTATGTCTTCAGCAGTTTGTCAAAAGCCATTATTCCTTTTTTGAAGATTTATTTCCCATGTTTTTAAATTTAGTGATTGTTGATTTTCTTGTAGTTTTGTTGAGGCATTTTTGACATATGATCAATGCACATAAAGTATATAATTTGAAATGTTTCAGTATTGTATATGTTTATGAAATGATTACTACAATCAAGATAGCGAATATACTATCATCCCAAAAGTTTTCCAGTGTCCCTTTAATTTTTTCTTGTGCATCTGTCTACCCCACCCTCCCCAATATCAAAACTGTGCAATCACCTGGGTTTTTTTTTGTTTGTTTTTTAGTATTTTCTGGGAGCAGGGATTGAACTTAGGACCTT